TACATTCGAACAGAAAGCATATGCTACAAAAATGATGCTTTTCATTTTTTCCTATCAATACTTGTGGGCTAATGAGCCGCAGAGACGATAAGCATCTCAGAGGTTATGAGGAGGCAGCAGAAACGCCCTCGGCCAGCTTCACCAGCCACGTGGAGCTTCCCCGTCATGAGGCATCTGTGTTTGGGCATTTTGTAGCAGCAATGTGCTCTGTGTCCCCGCTCCTCAGAGCATTAGGTAAGTAGGCTAAGTACCTGCTCACAGCCCTCCTCACCTCCAGCCAGGATGCTCCAGAAAGATTGTTCTCATGACGGAAGGGTGGCCCTGAGATCTCATGAGGGAGACCACTTCTTTCAGAGCTTCCGGAAGCACAGCATGTCAGGGACCAGAGAGGCCAGCCGCCAATGTGCAGTATTGTCTGTGGTATTGCTTCATTTCTGCCTGGTCAAAACCCGACAGAACTGATCTCCAGGGAAAGAAGACAGCAGAATAGCCCCCATTAGTGAGGGAAAGGAGAAAAGGGCTGCTGGGAAGCGCGGGCAATGTTTATTTCCCTGGATAAGTGCTTGTTTTGTGACAAATTATTATACTATACACATTACATTTTGTGTGGGTTTTTTTCCTTTCCTTTTTCTTTTTTGTGGGGGGAGAACTAGGAATCCAACTCAGGACTTGCTGTTGCTAGGCGGGTGCCGTGCCGCTGAGCTATATCCCTAGCTCCTATTGTGTGCTTTTCTATAAATGAGGGAAGAAAAATGGAGGGCAGTTAGGACTAGTGAAAGATTGAGCTCTGTAGTGATTCCCAATCACTGTGAGTAATCATGTCTTTTCTCAGTGTCCTGTGACCTAGCAGAAATCTCTCAGCTAACTGTACCTTGGTGACCTAGAGCAGGGGTGAGCCAACTATGGCCCACAGCCAAAAGCAGCCCACTGCCTGGCTTCATATGGCCCACTGGCATTGTTCCAACACACTGGCACATGAGCCATAGTGATCAATCTTGACCACCAACCCCAACATCCATGAGGTATAGAACGCATAGCATTTTTATTGGCCTACAAAAGTATATTAATTCACTTTAAAATCAAGACAGAGAATATATCAAATCTGTCTGTATTCCAACATAGGTGAAAGACCGGTGAACTCAAACGAGCCAAGAATCCATAATCATGTGTATTTCTGGCTCCTGCCACAAGCTCTGATTGGTAGCTGTGGCTGCCCCTGGCCAGAGCCGTCCATGTAGGTCACCACCTACAACTTGGAAACTCTGCTGTTGCCAATTGCCAGGGACTTCCCTGTGGAATCTCAGTCCAGGAAGGAGCAAGTTGGTAAATGCTACGTCACTGGCAG